GAGGAGCTGAGGGTCTGGGGGTTCAGCGAGTCAACAGCGGCTCCCGCCCAGGAGAAGGTGAGAGGTCTTCCCCCTTTGCAGGACCCTGGCAGGCTGCAGGTCAGCTGAGTGGGGCGGCCACACTCCAGAGGCTCCAGAAAGTGGATGTGGGGCTTCTCTGTCAGGGCTGAGGAGAGAGGCAGGTGCCTGGGCTCCAGGAAGTGGGGACTCAGAGCGTGACCCTGAGAGGGACCCGGCCTCAGGGCCTCAGCTCACCCCAGGCCCTGGGCCTCTTCCCACCACCCTTGGCCCAAGGCCTGAACAGGGAGTGTCCCAGCGTCCTGTTCCTGTTCTAAGACAGGGTCCCATGTCCCTGGGTTCTCTCCTGAGCCCCTGCCATACCTGTCACTTGCAAATTCAGCAGCTTATCTTGGTAAGTATATCTTCTATATCCTCTCTCCATTCGGAAGATGTAGGTTCCTGTGTCACTCCTCCTGGCGTCTCTGATGGTCAGGGAACAGTTCTTGTCCCAGGGGTTCCCGAGGAGGAATCGGTCCTTGGTCTCTCTCTTCACTGTTTCTTGGGGGTTGCTTGTGGCCACAGGATAACCATAGTATGGCCTGTCCTCATACCGGTACCAGTAGGTGTAGAGTTTGTTAGAGGAACCCTGAAAACCCGTCGGGTACCAGAAGGAGCAGGACACGTGGACACACAGACCCTCCTGCACTGTCACTGATTCTTGCACTTGGAGCTCAAAGTCTGGTGCCTCCTGCAGGGACCCTGGGGGGACACAGAGGCTCAGCTGCAGCCTTGCCCCTCCCTCACCTGCCCAGCCCCTCTTCCCTCGGCCCACTCACCCCCCCACAGCAGGGGCAGCAGCAGCAGGGGCACCATGTCTGCATCTGACAGGGCAGAGCAGTCCAGGTCCCTGGGTCCGAGGGAGATGCCCAGCTGTGGGTGGGGCCTAGAGTGCACCCACAGGAAGCCCTGGGCGACAGAGCTGTGGGCAGGCCTACAAGGGGAACTTGGCCTCCACAAGTTGTGAGCGTTGTGGTGGTGGCTGAGAAATAATCCTGTCTCCCTTCCTCCACCAGACCCTGCAGATGACTATACTGAGGCCCCAGAGGCTGAGAGGCTTGTCCAGATGTGCATCCGAAAGTGACCACCTTCAGATGATGTTTAAGATGAGAGGTTGCCCAGAGGACCATCTCAGTCAGAGCTGGTCCTGGTGGCTTGGGGGGAGACCCATGTTCCAGCTGAAACCACTGAATGTTCTAGAAAAAGATAACTTTAAATTTTCTTTAGATAACTCAAGCGCTGGCAGGAGGGGGAAAAATTTAGACCCAACTCCAGTGGAGGGTGGAACCCAGGGGGAAAGCTGAGAGTTAAAGTCCTTTGCTCTGAAGGCTTTTTGGGGACAGGGGAAGCATACACATTGGTCTTCCAGGGCCTGAAGGTCTGTGGGTCAGCAGTGGCACACAGGCCCCTCAATCCACTATATGTGAAGGGAGATATCATCCCATTGGGGGACCCCAAAGGCTGAACCTCAGCCTAGCCTCGAATTTGCCACCTTACAGGTCAGGAAACTCCATCTTCAGGGCCCCTCATGTACTCAGTCCCATTTCAAAGCCCAGCAAGGGCTCCAGTGATGTGTGGAATTAACCTGCAATCCTACTGCTATTTTAAGAAAGAAAGAACCTTGATAAACAATTTTCCAAATTTTACAAGGATGTGAAACAGTTCAGGCACCCAATAACAAGTTGTGCGATTGAAAGAAAGTTTCTTTAACTATACAGGAAAAAAGAAATGTCAATCATCCATGTTGAAGGAAGTATTGAATTCTCTTTCTATTCTCTGTATTATATAAATATAATATTATTATAATAATTAATATTTATTCATATAATACAAACATTTATTCCTATGTGACAGAATTAATCTCCTATAAAAAGGCAATCAAAGAGTATCAGTCAAAAATTGTGTTGTGGCTCAGTTGGTTGGAGGGTTGCCCCATACACCAAAAGGTTGTGGGTTCCATTCCTGGTCAGGGCACATACCTAGGTTGAGGGCCCCATCCCCTGTAGTGGTCAGTTCAGGAGGCAACNCGTCCCAGGAGCAGGAGGGTCCCAGCAGCTGTGAGGGGTCTGTGGGGAGAGAGGAGAAGGGTCAGCGGCTCCTCCTCCCTTCTAGGACCCAGGCGCCCACTCCCTGGGTGCTTCCCAATCCTCCTGACTCACAGAGCACAGAGAGCCTGAGAGAGACATTTTGGGAGCCCAGCCTGTTCTGAGCTTGGCAGGTGAACTCTCCTTCTTCTGCAGTCCCCACTCGAGGCAGCTCCAGGATCTCAGTGCTGGAGATGGGGGTGGCGTTCAGGGCTGGGGACCCCTGGAACCAGCTCAGCTGTGCAGGGGGGTTGCTGTCAGCCACACAGCGCAGATGCAAAGCCTCGCCCTCCAGGATGGAAAGGGATGTGGTTTGCAGAATCTCAAAGGCTTAGGGGAGAGACGTGGAGAGAGGGAGGGAGACAGAGAGACAGAGACGGAGAGAGACAGAGAGAGAGGAAACTCAGGTGGAGGCAGCCACCCACAAGAGCTGAGGCACTAGGCTGATGATTCCCATCCTTGCCCTTCCCATGTCTGATCCCATTCAAACTAGGATCCCCCCTCTGCTCCACCACAGCCCAGGGGCAGGTCCCAGCTCCCAAGAAGTGAGGTTCTTTCCTACCTGTGACATTTCTGAAGGAGCGTCCCATGGTGAGGTTCCGAGGGGCATCTGGGACAGAAAGATATGGCCCAGCCTCAAGGGGAGAAGCAGGAGTGAAGATGACCTGAACCCAAGGAAGGCAGTGGGAACCAAGAAGGTGGGATGCTCTCCTTGTGGGCCCCTCCATGCAGAAGTGTCCTCATGTTAGCTCAGCCTCTATGCCTTCTTACTCTATACACACACACACACACACACACACACAAGTGTAAGCACACACAAGCATGCATGTACACTAGTCCCTCTACCCCTACGGACCCATCCATCTGTCCAGCACTCACAGGAGACATTTAACTGGATGGTTCTCTGTGTGATCAACCTAGACCATTCGCGTTTGACAAGGCAAGTGAGGCTGGTGCCATGGTCCCGGAACCTTGGGGTGAAGGTGACCACTGAGGAGCTGAGGGTCTGGGGGTTCAGCGAGTCAACAGCGGCTCCCGCCCAGGAGAAGGTGAGAGGTCTTCCCCCTTTGCAGGACCCTGGCAGGCTGCAGGTCAGCTGAGTGGGGCGGCCACGCTCCAGAGGCTCCAGAAAGTGGATGTGGGGCTTCTCTGTCAGGGCTGAGGAGAGAGGCAGGTGCCTGGGCTCCAGGAAGTGGGGACTCAGAGCGTGACCCTGAGAGGGACCCGGCCTCAGGGCCTCAGCTCACCCCAGGCCCTGGGCCTCTTCCCACCACCCTTGGCCCAAGGCCTGAACAGGGAGTGTCCCAGCGTCCTGTTCCTGTTCTAAGACAGGGTCCCATGTCCCTGGGTTCTCTCCTGAGCCCCTGCCATACCTGTCACTTGCAAATTCAGCAGCTTATCTTGGTAAGTATATCTTCTATATCCTCTCTCCATTCGGAAGATGTAGGTTCCTGTGTCACTCCTCCTGGCGTCTCTGATGGTCAGGGAACAGTTCTTGTCCCAGGGGT